GATTGCGAAAATTCCTTACAAGTGAGAACATTTCGGACCTTAAAAATGGTAAAAGTGGAAACAATTTATAGATTTCCACCTATAATGAGGCCTGACTTGCCCATCACACGCTTAGAGAGAGACAGTTCAGGCCAGGATGTATGCACATCATAGAGAGCGACAGTTCAGGCCAGCATGTATGCAGATCATAGAGAGCGACAGTTCAGACCAGGATGCATGCAGCTCCGACAATGTGACATACTTGGCCCACCAAAAAGTACAGAAACTTCGCACCTCGTGCTTCATCAACCAAAACCACGAACCCTATAGACGCTTCGAGACGTAGTTCGTTGATGCGAAGCCGCGACTGATTGTCGTTGCCAAGGCAGCTCTCTAAAGATGCGATATAAAGTCCCTTTAATAGATGGATCCAAGATGGAACATTCCCTGTGTGTGCGGCATATGCGTCGGCAACTACAATTTCTCCACAATTGCTATTTCTAGCGACATCGATTTAATACTTGTATATCCACAATTCTTTCAATTCGAGAAGAATTCATCGAGATTTGCGACGACAGTCAAGCCTTAACGATTTCAAACTGTCTCAATACTTAAAAGAAATACTGGTTTGGGTCGTAGTCCCAAGCTGTACCCACCCCACATTCAAAGATTTTGCCACCTGAGGGGCCGGGGAACGGTGACTTTCTCGCCTCTTAGCCAGGGCCAAAAGAGTTGTGATTTGAGCAACGGAAAGGACCTGTGAGCAATTTGCTTAGTGTCTATTTATGTTGGCGCCATGTGCAGGTGACGGAAATCATTATCTGACTTGAGCTGAGGGGGAATAGAAAAGAATGAAACCAAGTTTTCTTTATCCCCTCACATCATTTTCTGCTCTCTCGAAACGGAACATGAAACCAAAAATCGACATTTCAGACATTTTTTTGAAAGCAAGCTACATTGTTGAGCAGCTAGTCTCACAGGAAACGCATTGATATAAATATGAAGCGCTTATAACATCGGAAGATGAAGTTCACCACATCAACATGGAAACTTGACACTTATGGCGATCCATATATTGGTACAATACGCAGATTTTCGCTCATTTTTATCTATATCTCTCGATCCATACACACTTCTGCAAGTCAGCGCCAAAAATAACTTGTATAGATAATCCGTCCGATACGTTAATTCCATCCGACTTTGATCAGATTGGTTCGTTTTAGAATGACTGATGATTTGGAATCCCGGCACGCATGAACCAGATTTGGATGAGCGCCAGTTGCGACGACGCTGCGTGGAGATGATGGCGCGTGCGGCGAACGAAGCCTCAATGGCATGGAGAGGAGGGTTGTCGACGCGTACTTCATGGCGGCGAACGGCCAACAGCCATCGCGCCCCACGCTACCACTATGGGTGGTACAGTTTGTCACGAGCTGTTTGACAAGTCGACGAGCTCTCCCGTTACGAAGTAGTGGCTTGCTCGGTTGCACCCACGGCTGAGAAGGCCCAGCTCTAACGAAACTGGCCTTGGTTGCCCACTACTCTACACACTTGCCAGCGGTCTTGTCCACCAAACCGCCATGAAATTTTGTCCTCTTAACCGAGGCGACAAGTACCGAGCTGACGCACTGCAGCTTTCCTGAAGGGACACAACATCTATTCTGAAATCAGCAAACGTCGATGTCCATGCCGTTCGCAGTCCGAAGGCCTGCCACTTGCCTTGCTGGACAGAAGCACCGCAACTCGTGCAGCGCCAACTGGCGCAAAGCAGGACACATCCGCCTCAAGCGCGACGCGAAAGGCCTGGGGATGTGCAACATCGCGGGGGACTTTGTGTTCTCCTAGATTGGCAGCGGTTCCACGTTGAAGATGATCGTGTCGCCAATTCTGTTCAAGCCAAGAGACGACCACCATCTCGCACACATCTGCCCAGCCTGATGTGTGCGCCAGTTGCACCGGATCCTACTTCCCGGCCAGGGACCAGTGTATGCTGGCTGAATAGGACGACTGTGACAACTACATGGGCGACTTTATCGCAGTCTGGTGCGACATTGCCGTTCAATTCTTATAAATTCATAAACCGTTTCTCCAAAGCCAAAAGGAAATTACAAGGTATTTAAATACTTCCTCCGTCCAACTTCACGAAGTAGTTTAACAAACGAGCTCGTAAACCCCTGATACAAAGCATCGCACTGATGGTAGGCTTGTTTGCTAAACGCCATCGACAAGTTACGCCGTTCGGAGTACTTTTCCCGGTCCATAGGTATTATCTCCTCGGTATAATCCTTCAGAGCACACATCATACTGTCAGTGTGGCAAGTGTAATGGTGACCAAGCAATCTCAGCTTTTTTTGCACCCCAGTTTGGCCACGATGGACTGGACATTCACATCACGTGGCAATGCAATCAACAGTCACAACTTGTAACTAACCACACCCTCTCTTTATGCCACGACTGTACCCATTAGCAAGGAGAAACCTTTGAGCAGAACGGAGGCCAGCACTGAAGTCAGTTGGCAAATCCAATCAAAATCGTCGATACCACGTCCACACAGTAGACCCAAAAAGTCCTTTGCAACAGTGCGGGTGGGTGTTTCGCGGCGCTGCCGTACAAATTGCTGTACGAGGACATGGACGTACTGGTTGCAAGGAACACGGGTTGCGTGGACTGTAGCGTTGCCGGGAAGTGGAGCAGCAACAACGGACATTTCGAGCATATATTCAAGGCAGATTTCTTTTGTGGTTCTTTCGCTGCGACCGAGCATTCGACCGTCCTGGACGTCAACCTATGTGGCCACAGTGTGACGGAGAAAGGCATAAAGATGCAAAATGTCGAGCATTTCCTCCTTTGTAAGGGCACGTGGTTAGCCTTGGCAAAAGCTACGACTTGTTCAACTTCGGACTTGTTCATTGCGTAGGTTGCAAAATGTACTGTTAAGGGCTTGCACCAGCGGTTTCACGAAAACCTTGGACTATTAATATCACTCGCTTACGGAAAATTTGAGATGCTTTTGTGTTGATATGTATAGATAGAATCGCAAATGCGACAAAACAAACCGACAATCGATTGTTTGGTTGAAATACACGATATTAATTGACATTGTTACAGTTTGTTTTCACGCTTCCTCTTTTGCACCTCCTGCAGCAAACCAGAGTACGTTGCCGCATGCCCAGCGTACTCCGTTTAGAATTGAGAGAAGGTCTGATACTTGACAAATGCTGCTGCCAAGGTCTGGCGCTCTGAGTGCTTCTGTCTGTCAACCTTGATCATCTCTTTCGTGTACTCCTTGAGAGCACAAAAGAGGCCACGCTTCGGGTCCACCGAAAACCACTGTTCCCAGGCCTCTTTCCCCGAACGAGCAGTTGGGATTGATCGTGGCAAGGCAAACTCCTGTAGCGTCGCCTGCCTTGTGCTGGCAGCTTGGGGGACGCTGGCAGCTTGGGGGACTTGGGCCAACGTGTCGCCACCGCGAAGCCGCTTCACAGCCGCCTCTGCGATACTGTCGACAGAAAGGGATCCACTTGCATTCTCGATTGCACGCCGCTTCCAGCAGAGGTGCGTCTTTCCAGCAACATTCGTGGATCAATTGCATCACTGATGCCCTTCGTGATGAGGTATTCACAGCATGTCTTGGCATCACCCAGCGACACCACGCCATAATCTCGCGAAAGTTAAAACGACGCTCCGGGGACTCAAACACACGATAAAAGCAACCACCACGACGCATACTGTGTAGAGTTATTCCAATTGGTAAACTTGGTGTCGCCTCAATAATATGACTTGTCGTCGAACATGAATTTGCTCAATACACTTAAACCAATTCACTCTAACTTTTCCATTCGACAATAAAGAAGTGTGAGGAAAAACAAACCCATCCATTGTTGTTTGCATCATCGTGCTAGCAATAATTGACAGGTAGTCATCATAAAATCCACAAACACGTAAACACGGATATGAATCCTCATTCACAAGATGATAAACCTGACAATCCTTTTCAACACTTGCCTTTTTATGCCATCGCAAACGAACTGAAACATACGCACCTTTTTCAGATCTTCCCAGAGCAATGTCATTCCACTTCAACGCAAGCACCTCGCCAATACGAAAGCAACCGAGGTAGCAACAACAGAGCATGAACCGGTACATAGCAGCGACAAACGGATTGAGAGTAGCCAACCCATTGACAAGTGTCGACAGCTCGTGGATGGTGAGAGGGCGGGCCTTTTTTTCGTCGTCGATGTTGTTTTGTCGATTGTACTTTTGCAGCCCCACAACATACTCTTTGCAGTCACTGGTTTGGGCTGGGTTGGGCTCGACGTTGTGCAT